TCTCTATATTGTTCCAATTTTAGTATATGTGCTGCCGAAGCAAGCACTGGCCTTTTATAATGTAGATGATCAATGATACTAAATAAATGACCTTGATTTAAGAAATAACTCTCCTAAATGATATTTAGGAAAAAAATTAGAATAATACCAATCAATAATATTTATTGCCTGCTCATTTTGTTTATGTTAATTATGTTATTAAGCACAAAAATTTATTGAGTATCTGTGCAGATCATGCTTAAAGGTACAGAGAACATTTACTAGGCATTATGGAATAAGCGGGTTGTCTGTGAGTAAACAGAAGGTGTTGTTCCTACTCAACAAGTGAGTATAAGTGAATATAGTATAAAAATTAGTTGTGTATCCACACAGAGCAAAGGAGTGATCTGAGTAGGGTAAGCTTAACTAGAGAAGCTACCAAGCTGGTTGGCATATAAGTTAAAACTTTTTAAGCCTCAATAGGTATATTCAATAAGTCGGACTGTTATGAAGCAGCACCAGAATGCTTTTTTTGTTCAGCAAGGCAATTAACTTTCCTTTACCTACTCAAAATATAAATACCCTTTCAGGTACACGAATGAATTTTAAGCATACTTTCTCAAAGATTATCATGACTTCTTTATATTTTGTATTTTTCTTTATTATACCAACTGTATCACTGCCTGACTCAAAGACCAAAGTAGACTGCTAGTGATTATTTCAAGAGAAGAGAAAAGTCTAAAATAGATTGGTGTCATCTAACTTCTCCTTAATCACAACCAAGGGACTGGAACAAGAGTTATTGCATTGTAAATACATGAATATTGAAAACCATACCATGGGGCTGTATACTCAACCATTTTCCCCAACCATACTTTCCAGCCTTCTTGCAGATAAAAGGTCTTTAAATGTTTTAAAATACTGGCTATAATTTGCATTGCTTTGGGTCCATAGCTATGGAAATATTCTTAGTGAGAATATGGTAGAAAAAATCTATAATTTCTAATATTGGGGCTAAACAAAACTTCTCCAATGTCTTTGGCAGAAAGAGACCATCTAACCACATATATATATTCCAAATATGGATTTAGCTAGATCTTGTATCAACTTTGCTATGAAGTTATGTTCTTTTAATTTGGTATATTTTTCTGATTTTCTTTGTTAGAGCTAAAGTTGGATATGGTATCATTTTGGAGGTAAGGAATAACATGTAACAAGTAAAAAAAAAATTTCCCCATTTATAGTTTAGTTTCAAAAGCAATATGTTAATCTAAATCACTTTTTGAGCCTAATCAGAGGCCTTTTATTTGAAAAAAGTTGATTTAGCTTGGCTCCCTGGGGTTAACTCTGAAGATATTTTTAAAATTTAAACCTGCATTCCTATTAGTATAACCAATGGACACAGACACTGGGGTGGCGGGGTCTTGCCCCGGGTGGGAATGGCTGGGGGTGGGGTCGATCAGGGAAAAAGGAGACATATGTAAAACTTTAGGCAATAAATAAGTACATAAAAATAAAAAAGACAAAAACTTAAACCTGTAATGCATTTTAAATATATTTTTATTATTTTAAAGCCCTTAATATTTTCTTTTTTAAATTAAATCTTTATTGTTCAGATTACAGTTTTTCCTCTTTTTTCCCCCCATAGCTCCCCTCCACCTGGTCCCACCCCACCCTCTACCCTTACCCCCCCACTGTTCTCATCCATAGGTGTACGATTTTTGTTCAGTCTCTTCCTGCACCCCCCACACTCCTTTCCCCCCCCCCGAGAATTATCAGTCCACTCCCTTTCTATGCCTCTGATTCTATTATGTTCACTAGTTTATTCTGTTCATCAGATTATTTATTCACTTGATTTTTAGATTCACTTGTTGATAGATGTGTATTTGTTGTTCATAATTTGTATCTTTACCTTTTTCTTCTTCCTCTTCTTAAAGGATACCTTTCAGCATTTCATATAATACTGGTTTGGTGGTGATGAACTCCTTTAGATTTTTCTTATCTGTGAAGCTCTTTATCTGACCTTCAATTCTGAATGATAGCTTTGCTGGGTAAAGTAATCTTGGTTGTAGGTTCTTGCTATTAATCACTTTGAATATTTCTTGCCACTCCCTTCTGGCCTGCATAGTTTCTGTTGAGAAATCAGCTGACAGTAGTAGGGGTACTCCCTTGTAGGTAACTGACTGTTTTTCTCTTGCTGCTTTTAAGATTCTCTCTTTGTCTTTTGCTCTTGGCATTTTAATTATGATGTGTCTTAGTGTGGTCCTCTTTGGATTCCTTTTGTTTGGGGTTCTCTGCGCTTCCTGGACTTGTAAGTCTATTTCTTTCACCAGGTAGGGGAAGTTTTCTGTCATTATTTCTTCAAATAGGTTTTCAATATCTTGCTCTCTCTCTTCTTCTGGCACCCCCATAATTCAGATGTTGGTACGCTTGAAGTTGTCCCAGAGGCTCCTTACACTATCTTCATATTTTTTTATTCTTTTTTTTCCGGTTGGGTGTTTTTTGCTTCTTCGTATTTCAAATCTTTGACTTGATTCTTGCGATCCTCTAGTCTGCTGTTGGAACTCTGTATAATATTCTTTATTTCAGTCAGTGAATGCTTAATTTCTAGTTAGTCCTTTTTCCTTTTTCATAACCTCAAGGGTCTCACTAGATTTCCTGAGGGTCTCACTAAATTTATCGGCGGTTTCTTGTAAGTGTGGTTTTGAACTCTATATCCAGTAGTTTTCTTCCCTCCATTTCTGTCATTTGTGACCTGTTTCTTTGTCTCCGCATTCTTTGTCTCCGCATTTTTTATGCTTCCCTGTGTTGATAGGTGTCCTAAGGGGCCCAGTGGCTCAGCCTCCCCAATTACCTGAGGTGGACACTCTTGGTACACCCCTTTGTGAGCTTTGTGCACAGTCTTGTTGTAGTTAAGCCTTGATTGTTGTAGGTATCACTGGGAGGAATTGACCTCCAGGCCAATTGGCTGTGAGAATCAGCTGTGTCTACAGTGGGAGAACTTCTATGCTGGAGAAACCCTTCTGGGGCAAGACTTGCTTCAGTGGGGCTTTGGTGCTCACTGAGTGTGCCCCTGAGTGTGTCCCTTATGGATCTGAGGAGTTGTAATCTGGATGGTCCCACTCTGACCACTGGACACACTGGCTCTTGGATCTCTAAGGAGGTGCTAATTTAGCCTCTGCCTGAGGCTACCCAGCAGGAGCTATGGAGAGATCTGCAGATTCTTCTTCTTTGTTTGGGGTTTGGAGGTGCCCAGATGATGCCCAGCTGTGAAGCAATGCAAACTGCTGTGGGGCCTTGGGCCTTCTTTTGGAGGTTCTGGGTCTCTCTGAACCAGCTTCAGTTTGTTAGGTAATTTTCAGATTGCAAAGGGCCAGGCCTTTCATGTGCAAAAGCCTCTGTGCACAGCTTGGGTGGGGTGGGGTCTCAGGGGATCAATAGGATGGAGCAAGCATCTATAGCTGCTCCTCAGTCCTACCCTAAGAGGCCCTGTGTCTCAGGGTCCCAGTAATCGCTGCAAGCACATCTGAGAGAAAGCCACCCTCGAGTTCTGACTGATTCCAGACAGTCCAGTTTCTCCCAGTATAAGTCTGGGTCCCCAGAGACTCGCCCGGAACTGGAGTTCAGAGAAGTTGGGAGTTTAAGACTCCCTCCCGATTGAAAAAGACAACTGTGTCCTCAGTTGCCAGCCCTTTCCACGTGCTCCTCAGTACCTCTGCACTTTACTTCCACACCTCCTCTGAGTCTCAGTGTGCTTTTCTCTTTCCTTCTAGTTGTAGAATTTCCACTCAGCCAGCCTTCCTGTGGTTCTGGATGATGTCCGTTTTGTCTTTTAGTTGTATTTTTGAAGTGGTTGTGCGAGGCAGCAATTTCCGGTGTTTACCTATGTCGCCATCTTGGTTTCTACAGCCCTTAATATTTTCTGAACAAAGCACAACCTACAAGCTAAGTGAGTAGATAAACATATGCATTTGAGATGTAAACAGAAGGTACTTAACGTATTTTCTCTTTTTTTGAGAAGATATTACCTTTATTTAAAATTTATTTACTTATGTCTATGTAAATTAATTTTTTATTTTAATTTTTTTTACTATTCTTATTGAATTTATTAGGGTGACCTTGGTTAATAAAATTAAGCAAGAGGACAAGAATAAATACAATCAGATGAACAAGGAGAATAATTAACACCAAAGAAATACAAAGGATTGTAAGATTGGACAATCTGGATGAAATGGATAAATTCTTATAAACATACAATCATTCAAAATTGAATCAGGAAGAATCAGAGTATCTGAATTGACAGATTATAACTAGTATATTTGCAGCAGTAATTAAAAAACAAAACACCAAAAAAAACCCCTCCCAACAAACAAATGTCCTGGACCAGATGGCTTCACAGGAAAATTTTATCAAACATTCAAAGAAGAACTAACACCTGTCTTTCTCAAACTATTCCAAAAAATTCAAGAAGAGGGAAGACCTTACAATATTTTCTACATTGTTCTTCCCTGTTCTGAACTTTGTTAGGAATAGTAATCCACTTTTATGCCTTTCAAAGAGTTCTAGTAAGGAAGTCTTCAATTTTCCAAAAGACTTTAAATAAACCATAATGGCTTTCTGGAATATAACTGGGTTGGGATTTCTTTCCAAATAATTATTTTTGAACAGCAGCACTTTTAAGCAAAGAACTCTTACAGAAATTCCTATGAAGTCATTGGCTAGGTGCTTCAATGAATAATCCATTCATAAACTATTCTTCCACAATGAAGCATTAGACTGGTTTAAATGATTGTGCAATGACTGTCTAATATGAAGGTTTAAAAAGGGGCATATTGTATTTG